GTGACGCATTTGTCCAGTCCAAACTTCCTTGCAATATCTTGGCTGTATATTCAGGCAGTGTTGAGCAGTGATTCTATTTCAGATAGTGTTTTTCCATACAGCTTCAGATCGTCCATGTAAAGGATAGCCTGGCAGATGTTTTTGATGTTTGATAGCCATGGCTTGACTTGTTCAGTATCGTTGACAGGGGAATCTTACCTGGAAGCAGACTGGCAACCACTGCAGCTTGTGGAGCATAGGTGTCACATGGGCATACCAAGTTATGTCCATCACTGCCTGCACTGCTGCGTTCTAGACAAACTGAAGGTTCCAAGTGGTTTTCAGGGGCAGCTGCATGTACAATGCATTGCAGTAGTCAAGCTTTGAAGTGACTAGGGCATGAATGACCACCTGAAGGGCCTCCCAATCAGGAAGGGGCACCACGGATCAGGAAGGGGCACCACTGATGTACCAGATGGAGCTAAGCAAAGGCCCTCTTGGCCATAGCTGCCGCCTGTTCTTTAAGCAGGAGCTGTAAGTTCAAGAGGACCCCCAAATTGCTCACCACTCTTGAGTGGGGAAGTACTATCCCATCCAAGAGTATGGATGGAAAGTCCTTAGATCCAGGGGGTCCTAATATTCATAGCCACTCAGTCTTGGTAGGATTGAGTTGGAGTTGGTTCCTCCCTATCCAGGCTGATGCAACCTCATGGCACTGGGACAGAATTTTGACAAGCTTGGGGTTGAAAGATATAATTGGGTATCATCAGCATATTGATGATCCTGAGCCCCAAACTGACAGATGACCTCACCCAGCAGCTTCATGTAAATGTTAAACAGGAGGGGAGAAAGCATTGAACCCTGCAGCACCCTACATAAGAGGAGCTTAGGGGATGACCTCTCCCCCAACATTGACTGAGATCAGCAATGAAGAAAACATGAAAAACACCATAAAATGGTGCCCGCAATTCCCAACCCCTGCAGACTGGTCCAGAGGGATACTGTGGTCAATGGTATCAAAGGTCAGTGAGAGATCTAAGAGCACTAGGATGGATGTACCACCTTAATCTGGGTCTAGATAATGAATGTCAACCATGGCTGAGCTGAGAAGCAGTATTTACAAGATGGTTTGCAGAGGATGTTGCTGGGTTTCCTCTTGCTGTGAGGACCATAGCATTCCTAAACTGTGATAAATGAGAGATCTTTCCAAGATAATTTTTTAAAATCCTTGCTTTGATTAGACAGAACAAAAGTATATCGGAGACCTTGATAGGAGTTACCTATATTATTAAGATCTGCTTAGGATCACTGGTAGTGACAGCTTTGCTGATCCTGGCTATTTTCAGACACCATCTCCTTTATGTAGGATACATGGCAAATTATTTTTGAATTTCAGAAATGGGCTTTGGTTACAAAAAGCCAATGCTTATAAATTTTTTAAAAGCAACCCCCCCCCCTTCCCTCTCCAAATTACTTTCAGACAAGCAAACTTATTAGGCATGCTGAAGCTCTTTGATGAGGACTGATCTACAGTTTCTGCAGATTTAAGTGGTCAAGTAAGATATACTATTCTAAATTGCAGCTGAAGGTTCACATTTTTGAATGATTCCCTCTGTTTCAAACACATACTCTCTCCTCAATGGAAAAAAACGAGCCTACCAGAGAAAGACCTGTAGAGAGACATTCTCTTTGAGTTGTTGTTTTTAATAGTTTTTGAAATACATTTAATGTGAGTAAACATTCAAAAATGGCATCTTCTACAGCCTGAAGAGCTAAAAGCCATGGTTATAAGCCAGTCTGCTGCATGGATATTCCAGCTACATCTGAAGGAAAAGTATTTCTGTAGAAAACAAAAATGTATTATTTTTGTCTTGAGATCATCTTGCATATGTGATGGACTTTTGCTTTCCCTCCTTTCAGGTCCTCAGATGTCAGCAAATCTAAATGAATTACTTGACCTTGATTCAAGAACTTCCCAATTAGATACATCTACGTCTGGCATAGCCTCCGCCCCACAAAATATAGTAACTCAGCAGGCTGTTAGAACCAACTCATCAAACGGGGCAGTTGCGAAAGATGAAACTTCCTTATTACCAACAGGTAGTTCAAATGTGGAAGTTTGAGTGCTTCACATTTTGTATTTTGAATCTTAGATATCTAAGATAATCATATTCATTATGGGTTTTTCATGATTACTATAGAGTTCCATTTCTTGAACAGCATCAAGATGTATATATCTAAGATTTTTAACCAAGATGTGAATAGGTCTTTTAACACATGCAGGCGGTGCCTTTGCTTGAATCAATAAACGATTTATTAACCTTCATTTCATTCAGACTGAGAAAAGATGGTTGCCAGCTTTATACTAAGCCAGGCCATTAAACCAACTTTCAATTGTGGATGAACATTCTGCTTTATTTTGAAGCAGATATCCATAATTTTGAAGTTTGGATGGAATGGAAAACGATGGTGAATAGAACAGTTTTGAATTTTTCAGTACGTCTGCAGGTATAAAGGTTTGTTCATGCACTGGATTATGAAGAAAACTATGATCAAATGAGTTTTCTAAGATGAAAATTAGCCAATCTGCTCCAAAGGTAGATGAGGACCTTTTAGGCCAATCTGATACCATAAGACTGTCTTTTAGTTTGCCTTTTCTTTAACCAGATGGTCTGTCTTTATTTTGAGATCTCTCTGTGGGAACTATTTAGTTCTGGGTGTAATAATTTTGTTCGGCCTTCCCCTTACTGTTCTTTTGTGTCTTATGCTTTTTTTTAAAAAAAAATAGAATGTTAGATTTCTCATGGTTTTGTTCTCAGCTGGTAACAATAGGTAATTTGGATTGAATGCTGATATCCTTTTTTTTTTTTACAATTTTTTTTGTAACTTCCAATACATATACACTATATGAAATTATGTTGTATGGACGAAGTGTTTATGGTATACATAAACTGTATATGTATTGGAGTTTACATATACTGTATATGTATTGGAGGTTTTTTGTAACCTCCAGTACATATACAGTATCTGAAATTAACATGTATGGACAAATGATATTTAAGTTACAAATAACTATTTTAAGAGGCTGCATTTTTTTAAATCAATGGTGGAGATTTTTTGTATATGAGCTTAATTTTTTGTTTCCATATATTTGGTTTCTATTTTGAATGAAGTTAGTCTATAAATGTTTAAAATTCTAATTAAGCTGCTTGTGCCTACAATTATAATTTAAAGTGTTCACAAACTCTGCATAGCTGAACAATATTATTAAGCATATCAATATTCATTTTGTCATTTATTTTTAGTATATTCCAGGAATGGTAACCTTTTCAGGGGAAGGAACATGACTTTTTTAAAAAAAAGACTGGAATGTGATGAGATATGGACAATATCTTGCAGAAGATATCACATGAAAATGTCAGAAACCTGTAGAATTTGTGATTTTGCTAGTCTTTGACTATTTTTTTAAATGGAGTTATATTTATTTAATTTTGCATGGTCTAAATTGAATTCAGATTATTTTTTCATTCAGCCTATATTTATCTGTTCTTGATAGTCATGCATCACAGGCAGTTTGTCAATTGCTTTCCAAATAAAAAAGTCAGCATTCTGATTTCTGCACATAGTACACAATTTTATGAAACTTTATCTCTGAAAGACATTTCAACCATAGCTGTTGATGGATTTCTTTTCAAAAGTTTTTGTACCTAAAGTAAGAGAATTTCACATGTGTTTCTCCTAGTTAAAGAGTCTCCAGTGCCCTCAACTAGAGTCACAGTTATTAACCCACTTGATTCAGCTGTACAGTCAACTGTAAGTACATGACACATTTTGAGTAGCAGATACTGCCAATAAGACTTATCACACTTGTTCACCTACGTTTTTGTTACATCTACAAGGAGGTGGCAAAGAATACAGACTGGGGGAGAAGGAATAGGGCATCCTCTCCCTTTTCTGATTAGGATGGAAATCAGAAAAGGCATAAATCCATCCTAGGCATAAATACACTGCAAGACAAGAGAAACCTCCAGATGTAAACTTTTGCATTTTTCACTAGGAGTATATGTTCTGTCACTTTCTGTGAAAAAGACTTTAATGAAAGAGGGAAACCTGTTTTCCTTAATTTTGAAATACTAATAGAATGATCAGTATTTGTTGGTGGAAACTGAGGTGGTTGGGTCATTTGCAAACTTGTCAGCTTTTATTCAGCATGTGATTTAATTGCTCATTCTATAAAATGTATTAACTCAACCTAGCACTGGCAGCTATGACATCAAATTAATTTCAGCAGCTATCTTGGCTTTTCTGCAGCACAGTGTTATGCTACAGTGTTTCTTAGATGGCTGTTATAAGTGCTTTGGTGACTTGAAATACGTTGAATAAATGCTAAATGACATACATAGTACTGTTGCATATGTATAGTATGTTGAGATCGGCTCTCTCCTGCTAACATTGGCAGGGCTGTCACTATGGGATGGGGGAAAAGTTCTAATTTCTTCCACATTCAGGTCTCCAACATTGGATTGTCCATTAGACTGTTGATGAGGAGAAAGTCTATACTTTAATAACACCTGCTCTTTGAATCATAGAAAACTTCACCACCAAAGCAGAATGCAAGAATGAGAACACAAGAGCGAAGGTGGTATGATGTTGGCATTTTTCAAAGCAACACTGCGTTAGTGAGCCAGTTTTATTTGCTGCAAGAAGAAAAGGCTATGCTTTCTAGCAAGGTTTGTTGGATTTGCCTATTAAATAGTAACAACAAAATTAAGGTAGGGACATAATTGGATCTTGGAAGGTTTAGATGAAGGAATTAACAGCTTATGTAAAGAACTAAACGAACTTGGGCTTATTTGTTGTTCCCAGCCCTTTGCCATTCTGGCTGTTGTGGTTTTGGGATTGTTATATTTATTGTTACAACTACAGCGGTACCTCTACTTACGAACTTAATCCGTTCCGTGACTCTGATCGCAAGTCGAGTTGGTCGC